CAAAACCAAAAACAAAAACAAACATAATTACATTAATTAACAAAAACATAACAAAAACAAAAACAAAAACAATTACAAAAATAAAAAGAACTCAAAACAATCTTTCCGAACATTTTCTGAAGAGAAATGACTCATGCACATGACTTAAACGTTTTTAACAATAAAAACTCAATTTCAGACATTATTTACAAAGCAGCAAAGTTCTAAATACAACATGCTCAAAGTGTAGTAGTGTGATAGCCAAATGCAACAAATTCCCCAATCTTAGTTTTCACACAATTTCAAAAATCATACAAAGCACAAGTTCAACTTCAAATCTCACCAAAGTTGAATCACTTAGAAGAGGGCTATAATGCAACACTCAGTTATAAACATGAGAATAGAATTAAACCATAAGGACTTAACTCGAAATAGAAAGATGAAGAACTTGCATTAATATGATCTCAAGAAGGATGCCAAACACTTAAAAGTAAGAAAAATGAATGCAATTCAACCACATGACATTTAAGATCAATTTAGGTCTTTAGTATAGGTTGTAATGGGGCCAAGGGTATAAGGTGAGTAAGAAATGAAAGATATGGATAATACAAAGTCCAAGGAACTCGCAATGTAAGAGCATAAAATAATTGTTTACAAGACTTCGAATTATCACGACTAGATTTTTTTTTTCTTTTACATGATCAAAACTCCTTATACCTTCATTTACATTGATTCACTCCTTTCCTTTAATTGAAGAAATACCAATTTATTTTGAAGGCCCAAAAATGAATTTTCAATCAACCCCCACTTAATCCCAACTTTTCTCTTTTCTTTCACCAATTGTGTGATATATATATATATTTTTTTTCTTTCGAAATGTAACACCCATTCCCTATGAGTTCCTTAGAAAGGTAAATATTTGTTTTTCAGGCTAAGGCGAGGAAATATAATTGGTTCTTTGTTTTTTTTCGAAATGTAACACCTCTTCCCAAACTTAGCATGAAAAACACATCCAAAATAAAGCTCATGAGTTCCTTAGAAAGGTAAATATTTGTTTTTCAGGCTAAGGCGAGGACATATAATTGGTAAATGAAAGAAAAGGTTTACATGTAGGTTCAAAATGGTTAACAATGGAAAATCATGCTTAAGCATGCATAAAATTAGCTTGAAAGGCACAAACGATCCAAAGAAGGCCTTAATATCATTTCTTAAAATGTCATGAAATCAAATTGCATAAGAATGAATGACTTTTAAGTGTTCAACCAAATCAATGAATAATGAGATCAAACAACAACTCTGATGACAAGAAAATAAGAGTACATGTATAACACTCATGAATTGAAGTACAAGGCTCAAAAGCTCACTTTATATGGTTGGTCATACAATTCTTTAGATCATGCAAATCCTTTAATTGGAAAATTATGAAACAAATGGCAAGTGTAAAGAATGTTTCAAACATATCATGCTAGAACAATGCCAAATTTTTTTTTATAGAACAGTGCTAATTTTAAATTTTTTTTTTTTTTTTAGTAGAATGAAATAAAATGAAATCCAATTTTAATTTAAGTCATGCAAACATTTATCACAATCTCATCAAATGTGTTCGGAAAGTGAATAAAAATAAAAATAAAAATAAAAGCAAGACTCAAACAAAATAAAATAAAAATATAAACAAGCAAAATAAAAAAAAAATATTAAGGAAAAACCAAATTTACATGTTAACAATCACCTAAGTTGATTACAATTTCTGGAGTTCGTTCTTTCTTATGTATGATTATCCATATGGTGTTTGGTTTTAATCAAGTACTCAGAAAACACAACTTAGCTATGGTGTTTAGTCTAGGCTATGAATCTGAATCCATTAAGCTTAAGAAGAACACAAAGGAACCAAGTAAACATTTAAACATGGTGTTTGTCCTAAATGCATTACCCA